GCTTGAAAGCTAAAGACATCCATGAGAAAGCAACACATACCTCATACACAGGGAGCAGTCCAAATCTGATGGATCTACAACTTCAAAAGGAATATGTTGTCCAGTACTATTGCCCTTAATATCAACTGCATCTATCAAAAAGAAAAAAGTTAAGTAATTGAACAGAACACTGCAAACACAATGCTATTCCACATATCTACACCAGCACCTGATATTTAAATATGTTTTGTATATACTTTCAACTAACTGAACCACTAAGCATCATTACTATAATTTCCCATGCAAAGCATCACATTCAGCCTTGGCACACATCAGCGTACCTCCCCTTAATTTTGGTCACATTATACTCAGAGAGGGTTGAATTTGGCCTTCCACAAACAATGTCAAAATATTTTTTGTTAGTGCTGAAAGTCTAAAGTGAGACAAACTCTTCTATCATACCATTGTAAATACAACCTACAGCACAAAACCAAGTCCAGATATCATGAACAAGTAGAATTTGTGCTTTCAAACTTTTAAAATTGATACAGAAAGTGCTGAGATCATGTACAACATTGATGTTCCATAGAAGATTCAGAGCTCTGCTGGGAAACAAGTACTTGACCACTTTTTAGATTTCTTTTTTTTCATTCCACATGCAGGAAAGATTCCACATCATGCCTTGATTAGGCAAAAGAGAAAATATAAAAGACAAAGTGTAATTTGGACCCTCTTCCTCTGAGTTTCATGAAAGCAGAGTTTCCATGCATTGCACGCCATGGAGCCTATCCTGTGCATAATTAGACATACCTTTCTTCATCAGTTTGCAGGGTACCTCAGCATTTCGCATCTCCTCTGAGCAGCACTTCCTTTTCAGGAGGCTGCATTTCTCAGAAATGAGAAAAGTAGACTCTGGCATGGAGGTGAACTTGTTCTCCTCCTCTGAGCAGTCCTTTTTGCTCTCTGTAATTTGTACAGATTTCCTCAAACTACCAGAAGTAGTTACATTTGGTTCCTCTGGAATGGAGAACCCCTTTTTCTGTTCCACATTTACCTGTGTGAAGAGAGAACTGACATTAGACCAACTTCCCAACAACTTGGTAAGGAAAATACCCAAACCATTTACAAATCTTTAACACACTGGATCACAAGGGACGATTTTGTAGGTCAAGAAGCAAGAGTTTGAGAATTGCTGATTCTAATTAAGGAAAAACCAAACCCAACAAACCCAACTCCCCCGCAAGCAAGCAACCAACCCACCCAAATTACATCCCTTCCCTGCCACCCTCAGCACCGACTATTTCCAGCCCCTTGATGTGGCTTTAGAGCTTGAAAGTCATGAAACTTGATTCGGGCAGAAAAGTGGTTAGATCTCAGGTTAAATATATTGTTATAACTTAACCTATGGAAAAATGCATATTGTTTATATCATAAGGATGGTAGCAACCATCAGAACAACCAAAACCATGTGAATTTATTTTAAGGAAGCAGTATAAACACACAGGATTTATAGGAGAGAAAATGCACAGAGCTTCCTTTTGCAAGACAGATTTCTTTTGCAGAGGATAAACTGATCAGTGTTTACCCTATTATGGCCACAGCACATCCTGTGAGCAGCTACTGCACAGCACATCACTTGTCAGGTTGTAACATCAACTCCCCAGATGAACCCCAAAACACATACTGTGGATTGTGATCAAGAGCTGTGGTGATGTGTAACATGCAGAAAGATGAGTGAACTGTCCCTCAAATGACTTTGTGAGAAGGTCGTACAAAACAATTTGTTGTTAGAATATCCTAACAGCCTTTCCAGAAGGCAATGTCATGACTGTTTCTTATCAGTCCCAACACCTACCACTTTTGTTTCTAAGGGCTAGTGAAGTTTCCTCCTACATATACAGCATATGCAAACCCCACCCTCAAAGTTCATGTTTCAGTGAAGGTGATCCTTACAAACCCACAGATGTAAACCTCCACAGCCATTTACAAAGCTACAGCTGTGAAACCAAACTTATGAAATAGCTAATATATCTTACATAGCTCTACAGTTACCTCTAAGCAGACTCTGAATGCAGAATGATTTTGTCACTGACATCACCAGTTAACAGTTCAAGCTGAAACTCTAAGATTTTAGCATTTCACAGCTTTTGAGGGTATCTCAATCCAATCTTCAGAGGCCCTTTCCCACTACCAACTACTTGAAAGACCTGAAGACAGTTATGGGAACAGAACCCACTCAATTCTGACATAAAATTTATCAGAACAACAACAGAAAACATCTATTAAAGAGTCAAATAAGGAGACTTCATCAAGTCAACACTGCTTTGTGTCTTCTGAAACTCAGTAAAAATTGGAGAAAATGTATCCTCTCATCTCTCAGAGGCAAAAAGGAGAGAAGGCTTCCCAATGTGAACACAAAACACACAACAAATTAAGAACCACACATCAGACTTGATCTTTACCTTGAGCAACCTTTGTAGATTATGGCTGGTGCCTCCAGATCCCACTGAATTTAGGAGATTCCCCTTTAATCTAGAGTGATGTGACAACAGCTGCAGGATATCGGGTAAGTGTTCCTGAGCATTTCCCGGGATGAGTGAAAACAAACTAAGTAGAAGCTGTGATATAAAACAGAACACTTCACTGCTTAGTTCCTTCCTTGCAACCTCTGAATGAAAAAGCAAGTAAGGGAATAGCTGAAAGAAGCATCCTTGATTTTGTTAAAACCATTTAAAGAGCCCTTTAGACGAGGCTAAGAACAAAAAGTGCATGAGCTAATGCAATACAGGCCAAACAGACAGCAAGAAACATTTTCAGAGTTAAATAAGCCCATAAAGTTATTAACCATTCTGTGTGATGCAACACACACACACACCTTTGTCCTCTTTGTCCTGCAGTTCAGAGCTCACCAGAGATTACTAGCATCTTCCTTAAATATGGTGGGTTTTTTGTTGCACATCAGAAGTGTTCACTGGAGTTTACTAATACAGAAAGCACTCATCTCACAGGCTTAATCCAAGATCAGCTGAGTAAACGTCTCTGATATTGTAAACTGTAGCTATTTTTAATTCACTTATGTGAGAATACAGAAAAGGTAGGCAGTAGAAAAATGCTATTTCTTCATTTTCTCTAAGAAAATAAGTGAATCTGTTTCAAGTAGCAGCTTGAAGCCCCTTGTATGGCACAGCTTATCAGATGATTATTTAAGGAAAGAAACAGAGCTGAAGATTCACACTTCAAAAACTAATTTCAACATACTACGGAGGTGATCCTGCTGATGCCTGAGGAAACCACATGACAGCTGAGATTTCTATTTAAAGCCAAAAAGGATTCCACAGGATCACACTATGTCAAAACTAACATGGGCAGACAGTTAATGCAAGCAAAACATCACAGCTGCACCCAAAGAATTTGGTAAAATGTAGCATGTCATTGTTATGCAAACAGCCTTGGAAATGACCCAGTAAAATATTGCATCATGGATGAACTCTGTGTCTGATGAGTGCATGAGTAATTCTTTCAGTCATAAGAATCCCAGTTTTTCTCAAAACTCCGCTGCTCAGAAATTAGGTGTCCAAATAAAGCTATTTGGAGTCACAATTTAGAAACATATCCGTTTGTTTCTAATCTTTTTTGCTCTAGTGCACAGAAAGTTTCCCAACATGACTATGAGCACAAATCATGACAATGACGGTGAAAGACTGCATGGAACCTACTGGGGAAAAAACCCCAACAAACCCCAAACAAAACCTTCAAACATCAGTGACAAAAAAAACCTCACAGGAGATTGAAATATCATCTATATATAAAAGGAGATAAAAACTTGATTGCACTACAGCCATTGATGTTATACCCTGTTACCTTCATGAACAGTGCTTTACTGTAAGAATTCTACTGTTCTTTTAGAAAGCCTTATGTGCTACAACACACAGAAACCCTAAAATCCCCATCCCATCTGTGATGGAGAATGGTGTGGTGCACTGACAGAGAGGAAAATTCAGTACAAGAAAAATAGAAGTATTATGTTTTTATTGCCATAAGGTATCACCGTGACACTGAGCCTTTTAGCTACAACAAAAAAAAATATGCTCAAATGTCAAAATACTGGTTCACAGGAAAGCAGAGATTTGAGGGGTATGCAAAACAGAGCAGTATTCACAAAAGCCATATAAGGATCCACACACATCTTTAGGCTGCTACTGAAAAAAAGCCTCACTGCAGATCCATTTTGTTGCTTATTTAGCCTTAATTATTAGCAACCTTAAAAAACTATTTAAAAACAGCTCTTCCTTTGTTGACTGCTTCCTCTTTCACGCCTCCCTGACACACTGATACTCTGTGCAGCACGACTGGCAGTAGGAAGAAAGCTGCTGCTCCCAAGTGGAATTTGGCGAGTGCTGCGTGCTGTGTTCTGTCAGTCAATGGCCTGATACAACATTCAATAGCAACTCCCCCTCTCCTGCACTCTGTCGTTGGTAATAGATTGCCAGGCTAGGAACCAGATTAGAACTCTGACTACAGAGAAGCACAATAGTCTGAGGGTGGCAAATATTAGCAATTCAGTTTCACTTCAAATTTGCTGATGCTAACACCATAAGTAACTGTTTTCACATTGTGACTGCTGAACACATTTTCTTGCTACCTCCCTATCTTCCAGTAAGCAATACACAACCAATGTGAACAACAGTCTGGATTTGTTTCTCCATCCAGCTCTTTGCAGTAAAGAGGGGAGGGGGAAGGAAGAAAAAAATCTTATCCTCCTTTATGAAAGGCCACTGGAAACAATAATGCAGTTCCAGATGACTTAGGGAACTCACCTTTTGTGCCTCAGACTTGGCTGTCTTGTTCCCAGTATCTAGAGCAAGGCAGAATAGAAACTCTCTTAAAGCTTCTTCTGTTTTCCCCAGATTAGCTAATGCTTGTCCTTTCCTTAGGTGACCCTGCAAGGAAACACAACCACAGCTGCAGCACTTGCTCATTTGTCATAAGAATACACAATAAAACCCTGATAAAATTACAAAAAAATCTTACTGAAGAAGAAAAAGTGAGGAAGGAAAAAATCACAATAACCATCTCTTATACCCAGACACCACCAGTGTCTGTGTTTCTAAGCACAATGGTCCTGAAAATTCCTATAGGGAGAACCAGGATATTCTCCTACCCAAGCAGGTATGATTCTCACAGCACCTGAGCCCCACAGATCTTGAAAAATCTACTTCTTACATTAATCTCCTAAAATAGTAATTTTGCCCTTAGAGAATGATAGAAGCACAGCATTTAATTTTTAGAAAGAGTTCATGAACTCAATACTCATCCAGGTCAAAGACAATAGCCTTAACTCATCCTCCAGGACTATCACTCTCTTCCTCGATCCCAGGAAGCTCAAAAGTATCATGTTTAAATGTCTGTAAATCACAGGACCCCAAGAAGTTACAGGACTTAAAGCCTCCCTCAGATTTAGCTGTCTGGCCATTCTAACAGTTCCCTGTGAGGGTAGTATCAGGGTTTTAAAACAAAGTACAACTGGAGTCAGAACTTACTTTCAACCAGTACGGCTGAAGCCTGCATGCTGTTTCTGCATCATGCAATGCATCTTCACAAGCTTTCAGAGTAGAGTTAATCTGGGACCGGTTGCTATATAGTAAGTGGTCATTTGGAGCTGTAGGAAATAGAAAAAGTGGTTGATTAAGTAAATAAGAAATTAGTTACACAAGCTTTATTCCTCAAATTTTTTTTGAACAAATTACTGCTTCCAAGTTGTGCAAACTCACAAAATATCCAGTTCTTAAATAACTGTGTACTAAACGAAATCTGGAAACCTCTTTGGGCAACTCCAGACAAAATGTCAGCTCTGTATTATATAACTGCAGGGAACATTGCATAAATAAATGCTGAGACGCTCACACAATAAATTACCAGCGCTGACTGAGGATGAGATGGTAGGAACATACAGGAGACGTTTAAAGCAGCAGGAAGACTGCTGTCATGCTGTAGGGAGGAGTTTCAAAATTTGTAGCATCAAAGTTTTTAAAGTGATACATAAGGATGTTTTCGTGCCACAGCTCAACACAGGACTAGAAGTGACAGCGTCAAGAATCAGATAACGCTCCACTGATCAGCGAGTTACACACACGGCGCGTTGTAGCACCGAGACACAAGGCGCGCTGGGGGAAGGCTGGGCGCTCTTCTCGGGAATCCTCTTCATTTAAGTGAAACTCTTACCCGTAATACCTTGCCTCTAATTTCCGCTTACTGCGTGCAGTCTGAGTTGCTTTTCCTCAAACTGCATTGAAGCGTCCGCAGCAAAAGTTCTCCCC